CATGTAAAGAGTGTCCCGCCAAAGGGTTTCAGATGATAGGGTCCAGATATCGGAAAGGCATGCAGAGCATCCGCGGTTTTATAGGGAGTAATAAAACTGTAGTGCTTATAAAAAATAATCAGATTTCAGCAATTTAAGATGTCAAACGTGACACGCAGTTTACACTGACTTGAGTGAGGCGAGTTTAGTGGAGGGGACAAAATATTTGTGACGTTATTTGGCTTTCGGCAGACGCGGGACAGTGCGACGTTCCATGAAATATGTTTTTGCATAACTGATAGTCGACTGAAATTCTTAGAAAAATAGAGCTCGGAATTTGGAATGCATTCTGCAAACGTCTTTCTATCTCGGAGTTCCTTTTTAATGGAATCTCGTACTGTTTCTGCAGTGTACGGGTTCGGGCACATCACTGTAAAGTCGGGCGCTGCACCGAGGATAGCGCAAGCTGTCTTGGTTAGGTGTCCTTGACCGGATTCCATTGATCTTTGCAAGGATTTAAAAAAGTGTTGTCCAGTGCGGAGAATTAATGTTGTTTCAGTTCTACCACGGCTTTGTTCACTGATATCACACACGAGGGCCTGTGTAATTTGCATAATTTCCAGCGGTTGATTGGAATGCGGGAGGAAACCCGGTGTCTGTCTCTCGCCGGGTTCCCCCTCTTTCATCTCTTTCAAAGTGGAGGTTTAGAAAAAGGAGGCTTTTGATCTTGGTGCTTGTCTTCTTTTTTCAGATTTCACTAGTAATCATTTCCACTTCTGCGGAGACATCCGGATTCATTGGGGTTATTCTGAATTACGGTATGAGGTGACAGCCAAAAAAGGAAGACAGTTGGCTGTATCACGTTTCTTCATGCTAAGGCATCCTTCCTGAATTTCTAACATGCTGTACAATACTATCAACACGCAATAATGACAATAATGACAATAATTGACAATAATGTACACACTGGGGTAAAATGTATGTGTACATCTATTACTGCTCATTTTAGTTATTGTACCCCCCTGCTGTTACAGTTAGAAAACCAGTTTAACTCTATGTTGTAAAAACTGTTCACCCCTAAGCACTATATAAACATCATGCACACACACACACATTACACACACATGCACAGAGCAGGGTGCAGTATAGTAAATGTGCACACAATTTCTTTTGATTTTCAAAAATAATTTAGCATCCAGAATCCCTCTGTGTGTGAGCATATGGAAGTGGGACAGGCCCCTGCCCAGATCTCAGAAAAAAACAGGATTTTCAGCAGGGAAGAGGGACTGTTCAACTTGTCAGACAGCCAAAATTCACTGCAGATTAATATTTCATTAAACAATACTCATAGTGTGTGTGTGTGTGTGTGTGTGTGTGTGTGTGTGTGTGTGTGTGCGTGTGTGTGCGTGTTCCTCTGTCTCCATGCAGTGTGCATGCGCATGCGTGACCATATGTGTGTGTGGTTACTTGAGCATGCCCCATGCATTTAAACATTTCATCAGTTGACATTTCAGTATTACTTGTTCATTTACTCTTTCATGTGAAAACGAAAACATCTCAAACCATACATTTCAACTAATTAATTAATTAATTAATTCAGGCATATTTTAGTCACATCACTTGCCTGATAAGCACATTCCCCAGAATCCATTGTGACCTCAGTCAGAGACATGTTTTGGCAGGGAGCTCTCCTGCCCTGTATTTCATCAGTAAATGTAAATGTTTGATGGGTTAACCCTTGTTCCTATGTTGAAATCACAAAAAATCCCAAATCCCTTGATCTTTTTTCCGCAGAAATGATTTGGAGATTACACCAAGATGGGTCAGGATAAAAACAGAGAAACAAATACAGCAGAAGTCAAGATTTACATTTACATTACATTTACATTTATTCATTTGGCAGACGCTTTTATCCAAAGCGATGTACAAAAGTGCAAATAGTGAGCAAACAACAGGCACAAGAGCAAGATGTGTACAGGTCATATAATGCAAGTAGTGCTGAAGCTGAGCGCAAGGTCAGTGACGCGAGCCAACTAATCTGAACTAGGATTGCATCTCAAATACAATTACAGAAAAAATGGAGTAACGCTATACTACCTAGGTAAGTGAACAACAAGTACAAGACAGGAGTCAGATTCTCAATGTCAAAGTTACAAGGTCGAAGAGGGAGAGGTATCAGTCCAGGTAGAGTCTGAAGAGGTGTGTCTTCAGCGCACGTCTGAAGGGTTGGATTGAAGGAGTTGTTCTCAGGGGGGTGGGGAGTTCATTCACAAGATGACTTTTGTTATGAGATTTTCGACCAATCTGCACTCATGGTTACCCAGAGGAATTCGAATGTCGTGTTGTGACTAAATTTGCGTTAATTTGTTTCTCTGTTTACGATGTCTCGCAGTGATTTGTACTGCAATAATCAAAAAGAGCCCTACGAAATGGTGCCTGCACTGTTTTGTGCATCCAGCACATCCGGGAATGACATCAGAGTTAACGTCCAGCAAAGCTGAAGAATCAGGAATAATGACATTCTCTGTAAAATCCCTCCCTGTATCAGTCCTTTGTCATCAAATTTAGCCGGGTCGGTACTTTCACAGCTGTTACAGCGGCCCTAAAGGTTGACTGCTTTCATCCCTGTCCGAAAGGCTATCACTGCATCAACCAGACCCATCCATTTCACAGAAAGACACAGACTGACAACCACACAATCCCCTCTCCACCTTCCAATGCCACAGATAGGTCACAGTAAATACCCTGTAATGGTCATTCATTACAAAGGTTGTATTTCTTTAGACAAAGAGATTATCAACTTCCCAATGCGCAGCCTTTGTGGAGAGTATATCAGGAAGATTAATAGCTCTGTAATGTCCATATGCTGCCCGCATTGCAGATAACTCATATCGAGAATGCCGTCACAGAAGTGCCAACCAGCTGCCCACCAGCTATAGAGGCAGAACAAGACACCATATACCATCCCTAATAAAGCCATTAATTACAGCGCTATGGCTTTCAGGAGCACTTTCACACAGAGTCACACATGAACTGCCACCTTCGCAGGCTGCGTTCAAACACACGTCACAAAGCCAGAACAACACAAACCAATCACATCGTAAAAGCTGGGACACTGAGGTCAGAGTCTGTCTGGGGCAGAAAGGGGGATCAATAAACCCAGGGAAAGTGCTTGGCAAGACACCTCATTTGGTTTATCAGCCAGCCCTGTAAAAGAGCAAACAATAGGCCACAAATGAATATAGTATGTGTATCTATATTTGTTCCCCAGAAATCTGCTTGGAGGGAGGCTTTGACCCCTTAACAGAATGCTCTCCATTGTGAGCCAAACAACCTAACCACCCTGTCATCCTGGTCTTACCCTGTTTGCTTATGAAATACTACACCTGATACACACACATACCCACACACACACGCATGCACACACCACACGCATGCATGCACACACACACATGCGCACACACACACATGCATACACGCACATGTGCGCACACACTCACACACACACACACACACACACACACACACACACACACACACACACACACACACACACTGTTTGTTCAGCTGTCAAACATTTACTTTGAACACTGTCTTTTCAAACTTTTCACACGTTTGAGGCATGAGGAAGGAATCGCACAGAGCTATGTGCATTTACAGTAAGATTGGGGCTGTTTTTTTTTCCTCCTTTTCATAGCACGGTCTCCAAAGACATGTTAATGCAGCTGTAATCAGGGGCTTTTAACACAGCACACAGGTCTCATTCACATTAGCACAAATCCCTTCATTCACTCAGCTAATTCACAGATTGCATAGGTAACATTCACAGATGCACTTAGCTTCTGCTGGTAGCAAACTCAGTGCGTGTGTGTATATGTATGTGTGTGTGTACGTGTGTGTGTGTGTGTGCACATGTGCATGTACATATGTGCGCCTGCATGTTTGTCTGTATGTGTGTATCTATGTGCATGTGCATGTGTGTGCATGTGCATGTGTGTGTGTGTGTGTGACATTGGATTGTAAAAGAAGAGAGGCCACAGAGCTCTCGTGTTACCTCTAAATTTATTTATTTTTTGATTTCTATACATTGTTTTTGCTTATGAAATTGTAGAAGCCTGTTCAAAAGCTGAAGTATCTTGCCACACTAGCCTATGCACTGAACAACAGTCTTTTCAGAAATTGATTGATGCACAAGGGTACATTGTATGTGCATGCTAATATGCATTACAATTAGCGTATTTTAAAATGCATTTAAGTTTTCCCTTAGTTCACATTTTTTGCACATTATGAAAATAACATGCACAATTTGAGCTCATTATGAGGCTGACAAATGTGAAACCTGTGTGAAAACAACAATAAATGCATCATAATACATAATAAAATCTCAGTATCAAGCTCTGTCTTGAAAAAAAAAAAAGAAATAAATAATTCACCGAAGAAGAAAGGGAGTGAGATTACTTTGATTAGAGATAAAAACGCCTTCGCCTGGAGGGTGTTTGTTTGCAAATATCATTTTCCGGGAAAAAATAATTGCTCTTAATGCATTGCAGAGAGCACTCAATTAGCATGCAGTAATTAGGAGGAAGGAACACATGTTGCCTGGCCTTGTCTTTCATATGATCAGAGAACTCCTTCTCCCCCCCCACTACCTGTTGAACCCCTATCTGTCCACCCACACAGTCGTTGATGGCACATTTCTGTTAAAGCAATGCACTGCAGGTCTAGAAAACAAAACTGGAAGACAAAATAATGCGTGGGGTTTGATGCCAAATGCACTTGCGTACGTTGGATCTTAAGAAGTTATTGAAATGATTGATGTTCATGTTAATATGCACTATGATTGGCACATTTTAAAATGCATTTAAGTTTTCCCCTATGTAACATTTTTGGCACATTATGCAAATCACATGAACAATTTGAGTTCATTATGAGGCTAAACAGCTGGAGGTGCTCTGACACAGAACAGGCATCTTGATGGGGAGTCCCTAAAGAGAAGCTGTCACTTACTGCCTAACTAGTAACACCAGGAGAGGGGTTTGGACCCACACAGGCTGGCATCCGAGGCTGGATCTTAAAGTCTGACACCATAACCACTCAGCCATGCTGGCATTGCGTGTCCCTGGTTAGAAACCTGTCAGGTGTCCCTTCCTGAATCCTGGCAGCGCAGAAGCTGAAGTCCGTGCGCCGAGCCTTTTCCAGGAAACGAGAAGGTTACAGGGGAGAGCAGCGAAACGCAGCTGGCAGGGAGGTCAGCGACCCCTGAGGGAAGGCACTGATCCACAAAGGGTAGCGCAGCGGCCGTGTCGCTGATTCAGTGGCATTAGTCTGTACAGCAGATTCAGCAGGTAGGGATGCAGTACAGAATCTATCCCTCTGCCCTCGTGTAGTGTTGGTCTGAGAATACAGTGCCTAGCTGCACTTCAGCACAAGATTGACACAGGGATACACGCAAATTAAAATTTTAAATAGGGTAAAGCTTGTTCCATTTTTTGGGCAGTTTAAGTTGGTTTTTATGTTTTGATCTCTTTTAACATCTCAACCACTTTTTACTGCGGAGGCTTCCAGGTCATGACACCCTGTGCAGGTCAAAGTTCACCATTAAATTCAGAACAAACCACCCAATATGAAATAGAAATGAAATGACTGGAAACGGAGTCCATCTACTTTCAAAAGCAAGATCAAGAAAAAAACAACAGCAAAGCCCACACTCAGACAGGATAGATAAATCCATTTATATTTCATTTGATGAAATATAATGATGAGTCCAACCATCCTTTTGTTTAACTGCCTAAACAATGAACATGTTTCCAGTGTTGGGCCGCTATCTGTCTGAACTGATAGAGAGACTGAAAAGGATTCTGAACAGTGGAACAGGAAGCATTCACTTCACTCATTCATGCCACACATTGAGGTCGACTTTCTTCAGCACCCAGGTGATAAAACCAAAAAGGACTGTCGCTCTGTGTGCTAATTTGCTTAAAGAGAATAACTGAAGCAAGAGCAGGCTCTTCCCAAAGACTTACCATCACGTATCTTTTGTGTGAACATTTATAGGACAGCTATCACCGTCTGCTCCATTGTGCCCAAATGTCATTTTGAGGAGAGACGGAGCGGTGGTCTGAAAGAGCAGTCTGATAATGCTGAGAGAGTTTGTGCCAGAGCTAGGAGAGCTCTTGGATTCGCTTCACCAGCAGTGTGAAGTAGTGGCAGTTGTATGAGCTGCAGTTATTGTCCATTTCGTTCTCATACAGTATATGCTCACAGTCTGAGCATCAGGGCACATTGGGTGCATATTTCTAACAAAGACACTCAGGTCAGTGTAAGATGTGCTTTGCCCCTTGCTTTTAATGATAAAATAAAGCATTTAATGGGAGTTCCAAATGAAGATTAGGGAAGGGAACTGTCAGAGAATCCCTGCACAATTATCCAAACCTAGACAAACCAGACTTTAAAAATCCTTACATCCTTACATCTTCCTTTGGTAAGATTTTTCTGCTGTCCACAGCATCCTTCCTCCATCCCATCCTTTCTTTTACCTGCTTATGATGTCCACTCAGGAGGTCAGCAACCATGGCCTGTGGCCAGGTGGGATCATTGGACTCTAAGCCAAGTACTGCTGTAAACACATGAAATATAACTGTCATGCTTTGATGATACTGAAATTCATATCATATCCACTTATGAACTAAGTTAAGTGTTGTACTGTATACAACAATACAACAGCATGTATGCACACACTCACCCACAAACCTGGGGCACACACACATGCAAACACCCTGGCTCAGATCCAATGTAATGTTCACATATTCAGATAATCATTGTCTCCTTTACTTTCAATAAGAAAATGAAGCAACTTTACAATTAATTTCAGTGACATACTGTTGCCATACTGTGTACATATGGTGTTCATGCCTATATGGACATATTAATCCAGATTTATTCAGGGCATTTTGACTGCCTTGGTTTAGACCAGAACATTATCCGTGTAGGACATCTCTCACCCTGATCCTGTTTTAATCATGCTTTGTGTTCTCATTCAGTGCCTAACACTGCATCACTCTTGGCCTGTCAGAGCCGGTGCTGCAGTAATTCCACTAGGGACTGATTTTGTCTGTCTCCCAATGAGGAGAAGCTAGCAGGGGATTTGACCGAAAGAGGGGAGCATAATTCTGCTTCCCGAAGACTGGAGGTTGAGGGTCAATTGCAGAAACGAGCTGTGGAGAGCCGTGAGATGATTGAAAACAAACAAACAGAGTAACAATGAGATTTCTGTCTGGTTGATGCAGTGAGAAGACAGGAGTGCCCTCTGACACAATGTCGTGTTTTGAGAAAATGGAATTTGGTTTCATAGGAATTATGAAGTATGCGCTGTGACGTGGAGTTCAGATGCACCTGGTGTGGGGCTGGGCTCTGAGAAGCACTTGGGCCTTTAAGGACACTGCTAAGGTTTGTCGGGGAAGTAATTTCAAGGTTGTTAGTGACAACACAGAACATGAAACACAGGGAAAATGACCTTACGGGGGTGCTCTAGTGGTTTGCTTGTTACAATGCTGGTTATATTTAATTTTTTTGGATGACGATTTACTCCATTTTCCAGTTTACTCCCATTGAAAAAAAGGGCTGTGGTCTCTTAAAAGCCTTTGCATTGAGATGCCATGGAGGAGTCCCCTTTCTCTGCTTGCCCTGTCCCTTTGTGTATTTGGGAGAGAGGGTGCTGGCACTGTGCTTTCTAATGCTGCCCAGCAGACATGGAAGGATAGACTTAACCACACCAAAGAGAAACAAATTCCACTCTTAATCATCCACTAGACAGGCCTGCTTCAGCTGCTGCGGCTGGAGAGCGATCCACGCTGCTGTTTATGGACAGGAAAAAACACAGCTCACGCCAGGCCTTGACTAGCGCTGCTAACAGACTCTTCTCCAGAGTCTTTACGCCATGCCTAAAGTGGCTTGGCTGTCTAAGGATGGGCATGCGCTGCTGAACGGCCTCACATTATTGTGCTCCAAAACTCGGTATTATCTATGGCGATGTGTACGGCGGCCCTATGCAGAGCTACACAGAAACGTTCATGCCACTGTGTGCGCCTGCCACTGGGCTCAGCCAATCAAAGAGCAAGTGGTTGCAGATTTCTTTGAAAAGGTGGCATGCACTATACACGTGGGAAAAAATAGATTGGTGATTAGATGTTGTTGTATGTATTGCTTCTGCTCTCTGCTTTATGACCCTACCCTCTACTGCCCTGTGTCATTAATCTATCAATAGATTAGCTGAAGTGCACACACATGGATTGTCATGTAAAACTATTGAAAAGCAGCCAACTGCCTAAGTGAAAGACAGTTGCTGTCCCATTTTTAAATCGTCTCCAAATTTGCTTGTCCCATTTTGCAGTTTGCAGCAAAGCTTGGCACCTGGGTTAAATGCATTGCAGGTGAACAAATTCAAAGTGACACCTGAAAATGCGACCCTTGGTATAAAAACGAATCCATCTCAGCCCCGATGGCAGAGCCAGGCCTACCCTGTGTGTCCGTCCTGCGCTGTCTGTGTAAATTAGAACTCCTCACATATTCGCTGAACTCCGCTTTTCATGCGCAAGCACGCTGTCTTTTAATGGAAATTAGAGAAGACTTTATTTGCTTTACATTCACTGCGAGGGACGTTCGTTCTCCCGGCTGTCAGAGGCTGCCTCGCATTCAGCAGGCTCATTTGAGGAGGAGAACCGCGGGAAGGTCAACACAGAGCGAGTCCTGTGGGCATTAAAGCAGCGGCTCAAATGATAAAGAAGAGAAAAGGAGCAAAAAAAAGCAAATAAGAAAAGGAAGTTTTAATTACATTTCTTGGCTAATCTGTGCCCTTTCTTCACCAATTGCTGGTTCCCAGTAGGGCAGGGGTGGGGGGGGGCTCTCCCTTAAAAAGCCAGTACTGGGAGAGAAGTTTTTAGAGATCTCACTCCCCTTTCAAACCCCGGCTCTCGGACTTACACGGCACGACTCGCTGACCTTGGTGCCTGCACCCGATAAAGATAGTTATTGGTTATGGAGACAATGTCAGGATGTGATGCATCTGCCTGGTTCGTGCGTCGTGGGCGGAGCTCAGGGTGTGTCGACGTTGGGTGGAGTGTGTTCAGCACCTCATGTGAAGGACACAGGCCTCCCTCTACAGCTAGGCTTATCCTTAATAATCCAGGGGAGATTCATCCTGGGAAAAATATAATAGGAAAATAAATTATAATAGAATATGAACCTGATGAGAGGTTTGTGGGCAGGAAATCAGAAAGCCATGATGATGTACATGAATGCATGAATGTGTTTGTATCAGGGACTCTAGAACAGAAAGGTGCAGTGGAAAGCAAAACATAATGGCGATGCAATCTCAGCTGGAGAAATAACTTAAGTTCCAAATGAGGATTTGGAAGGAGAATTTACAGACAATCCCTATGCAATTAACCAAACCTAAACAAACTTGTCCTGTCCACAACTATAAAAATCTCAATTACTTCTTCCTTTCTGCATCAGCTGCTCATGGCATCCCTCTTCCACCCCATCTCTCCTCTCTTTCTATTCCCTGTTTATGATATCCATTTGGGGAGTCAACAACCTCAGCCCATGGCCAAGTGCAATCCCTTCATCATACTCCTAGTCAAAGAAAACACTGCTATAACCTCATAACTCGCAGTTATGAATAAATAAATAAAAAGCCAACAGCAAACGTCAAGCTTGAGTGAGGAAATCACAGTGCAATTTTCCCCTTGGTCCCTCAGGACTGACTCCCAGCTGGGGGGTGCTATGCTCGTGCCTCTTAGACTGGGCTCCTGTCTGCTTGACAGGCTGTGGGCTGTTTGAGGGAGAGGGGGAGAGGGATGGAGATCATGGTGCGGCCATGGAGTAGGACTGACTTATCAGCCGAGGGCTGCAGGTACCATTCCCAGGCGGGACGTCACAGCGTCCCAGACCTGCTCCGCTTCCGTTGTCATGGTGACGCCGAGCATTAAGTCAGCCTCACTCTGTGGCTCAGTACATCACTATTGTCAGCTGCTACCCTGGCCAGATGTGACATGCCACTGTGGCAAAGGTTGCTACCTTATCGGATTTAGCTGTCTTTTGTGCAAAG